ATTTTACATTTAATGGGTTAATGAGTGTGGTAGTATATGAGTGTCATACTCAAATTGTACTTTGAACTGTGACTGATCTGTACTTAAAACTTTGCCATTACCTGTTGGTGTCAACCTTTTTCGTTGGCAAAAAACCTCATAAACCCCTTGACAAGTTTTAATAAAACTCATTATCATGAAGTGAACAACTTGTGGAGTAATCCAAATAAAAGATGGCCACCACAGACAAGTGACTTAACTAGGGCAGTTTTACAGGTACTGAGGTAAAATCTGGTTCTGTAGTTGCTGAGAAAACACATAACACACTTTGACTGCTTACAGATCTTGTTAGATCGCAAAAAATCAACACTTAATTTACAAATATTCACCAAAGCAGTTACAACTTAGTCATCTCTCTTCAAAAGATAATCTTACTCCTTTAAGGAATGCAAGGTCTATATGAAATTTGTTGCAGCAGAATAGTTCACACTCATCACTGACACTCAAAAACAGACTTGTTCAGTTACAGCTTTTGCAGAGAAATGTTTTTTTTATGTTCAGTRCCTGGTTTCAGATGAGATGCTCAAAAATATCCCATTCGTTTAAAGCAGCTGTACTGCAATCATTAATTGTGTTCAGTCTGTTATGATAACCATATCCAGCCCTGCTAAGGTTGCATTGAGGAATATATGAATCAAATGTGTTTACCTCTATCTTATAGGTCTGGTCATGCCTGACAGTTTCTCCACTCTTCAGGGTTTTGGTGAAGGTAAACTCCGTGGTGGGCAGTTCTTCATTTCCTCGTGATTCATCTCGTCCCACACCTAAAACCTCCTCTCCTCCCACAGTCTGATCCGACCCAACCTCCGCTCTTTCCTGCGAATCGCCCTCCGAGTCCTCAGCTGACTTCTTTTTCTTCTTCTTTTTCTGTTTCTTCTGGAAGTCTACGTACGCTTTTCTCTGGCGGTACTCGGCAAGCTGGAGAGAGAAGAGATTTAACTGGGCTACGTTACAGYTCCACGCACAAAACAACAATTACACTTTTTTTCCCCATTTCTCTAGTTCTCCCAAGTGAACTGGATGTTTGTTAGTTTATCTGCAAGGTGAAGGTCCACCTTCTTCAAAATTCATCTTAAAATCATAAAAAAGATACTTACTCTGAAATGACACAGCTTGGTGATAGCCAAGCGAAACATTTTATGCCCCAAACAGGTGTTGTGCCYGTTAGGAATGAGTCGTCCCTCCCTGTAGCCATAAGACCCAACACATGCTCCTTACTGTGACAGATGTGTGACAGGTGCTAATCCTGACTAACAGGATTGCTTTTCAACTTACAGTGTGCCTATTAATTGTTTCAAACGACAATCACGCCATTTTTAGTAGCTGTTCTTTAATACTCTGCATTAAAACAAACATTAGTTTGTCTATTGTTTGTTTTAAACTAAAACTTGGATTTTTGGAAAAATTAACATCTTCTACTGTCATCAGTTCAATCAAATTGGCTGCTTATGCTTCACGTTTGGCTTGTTTTAATTCATAAATAGCACTGTGYTGTAATTAGAGGAAGGCCAATTGATGGTTTAATTAACTGACCAATCAATAATTAATAAAAATTCTACCTTTTTTAATAATCACACTGATCCCACCTTAGCATTAGGGTTAGGCATAATCGTATCGTGTGCAATTAATCATCAGAAAAACAATCAATGATTGTTTTTGGCTCTTGATGATTAATACGATTAATGCGATCAGTCCGCTCGGTGCTCCTCTCTGCTTCAAATATGACGAACATTAAAAAAGTACTGTAATTTATTTATCCATCAACACAATTTAAAATTTGATGTACAGCCTGAAGTCTGTMATTTTTACACAATTTGGAACAGATTTTTACGAAGAGCAAATCTTTCCCACTAAATTGGTCATGTGACCAGGACACGAGTTTCCAGGGACTCCAGGTGATTAATCATCAAATTAATCATTATCGGCTGAATGCCACAATTAAATAACATATTTTTTGCCAATATTGCCCAACCCTACTATAAACAGATTTTTCAGTGCAAGACCAAGAGAACCCAAAAGGAAGTTGACCCAATCACTGTGCACATTTGTGTAATGTAACAAACAAATTAACTAATCAAAGCACAAATTTTCTATAAGAGAGCACACACTGATGATTTTATTTCTTTTCTCACTGTTTTACTTTCCAGCTTCAACCTAATCAACATCATCATCAAGGAAATAATCCTACTCATTTCTCAGCTGGTAAGGTTAGTACACCTGGCGTCCATTATACCTGGACATCAGCAAATTAGCAGGAGCGTCACCTGAGCGGCGCTGACAGCAGGGGCCACAGGTGGCTGCATGGACCGTCTGCTGCAGGCCGTTTTTAGATATGCTGTTGCCAAGGATACAGAAATAATGCCCCATCTCCTGTCTGCAAAATGCCCCTGCCTGTACCAGATGACAGACATCCCAGATGATGGTACACCTTAACAGACAGGTGCACCCCTGCTGCTTTTGTGTGTTTCTTCAGTGGCCAGATGGTAGCTAAGACAAGAAGTGTGACCAATTATACAAACCATATCAACAGATGATACAGAAAAAAACATTCTAACTTACAGTAATTTCACTCAAATTCTGCAACCTTTTCAGGTGTTGAAGGATTTTATGACTATTTTTAAACTGCCACTGTCTTCACTGTTTTTCTGTAAAAACATCCGATTAAGAGAGTAACTAATTACACAATAAACCTCATTCAGGTTCAGATAAACCTTTGAAATAGAGTTCCTATTCACACTTTCACATTTACATCCAGACAGGGTTTATAAAAATATCAATATTTGTAGGAACCACCATTTTAAGCTCTTGGGATGCAGATGGGTGACCATTTGTGTATCCCCCAAGTATGTGGGTTATGTTGTATATCCATTGTTGTATAAAGTACCTCAAAGTGATACTTRAGTAAATGTACAAGTATCTTACCAAAAAATTTATTTGGTAAAAGTTAAAGTCTCCTTTAGGAATATTACTTGAGCAAAAGTCTTAAAGTATCTGACATTTTTTTGGACGTAAGTATTAAAAGTAAAAGTATTGATTTAAAATGAGCAGTTAGATTTTCTGTAATGACATTTATTAGGAGGTGACATCCCCAAAAATACTGAAACGACTTTTATTGTATTAAAATWATTAATTTATGTTAAATTTAGGATGCACTAGTCTAGCTGTTTCAGTTTATATACATATATCAAGGCAGTACAAACCTTTTCCCCCAAATCAAAATCTATCCAAGARCTGCGGCCAAATGCAATTATATAATTTATGAAATACAAATACTTCTTAAGTACAGTTCTTTTATTTTTAAGATTATGTCCTGCTGGATGTTATTATCTCAAGTTTGGTCTCCTTTTTTTGTTCGAATTGTGGTCTTTTTTATCCTTTATCCCTCAAGTTATTACCTTGTTAGTGTCCTTTAAGTGCTTATTCTTTTTAGTGTGGTTGTCTCTTGGCATTCAGAGTGGTCGACAAAGTAAGAATTTCATTGCTCAGGTAAACTTGTTTTCATCTGTGTATATAACAATAAACACTTTGAATCTTGGAGTGTGACATGATTTGTTTGTGTACAAACTAATACGGTGTCAGAATTTGATATATTTACACTTCTCATTCAACCACAATTAAATTCACTCTATCTAGGAGGCACAATTTATATGGATAGTATTTTTATTTTTTACACTAACAAGCTGGAATGAAAACAAGCAAAAATGAAATAAAAGTAACGACTTTCTACTTCTTGCCTTTTTTAAAAATGTAAGGAGTAGAAAGGACAGATAATTGTGTAAGAAGTAGAAGTAAAAAATAGGCTGAAAAATAATTACTCAAGTACAGATGCCCAAAAATTCTACTTAAGTACAGTAACACAATATTTGTACTTAGTTACTTTCCAACTCTGTGTGTATCTACAGCTCCAGCAGAAGAAAACCACACTGGGTACCACTTCTGCCAGCCAAAAGCAGGAAACTGATGCAACGAATCCCACAGGCTCACCAAAACTGACATGACAAGTCCTGATTTACTGAACTTAAAGGCCTCTATAGTCACCACATCTCAGTTCCATTGAGCACTTTTGGGAAATGGTGGAAGTAGAGACTCGCGTCGTAAATTGAAAAGCTGACAAAAACCGCTGCAACTGGATGATGACATCATCATTTCAATATGGACCAAAATCTCTGAGGAATGCTTCCAGCACCTTGTTGAATCTATGCCACAAAGATTTAAGATTTATTTCAATGACAAAAAGCAGAAATAAGTTGTGCTAAATTACGCCCAACCTGGCATAAATCAACTGAAATCGAATAGTGTGCATTATTTGGTGAAACTAAAAAAAAAAGCCTGTCACGACAAAGCTGAGAGTAGGTGTCGTGGTCGTATTCCCACCTACTATTCACAGCTTAAAAGCTCGAACGGCTCTTCATGAGCCTCCGCACCTCCTCACATGACCCAGCCCTTGTCCAAACATATCCACTTATCTGTGTTTCAAGAGGAGATTCTTCTACCTAAAACCACAGAATAAAACACTACTGACAGTCTTACAGGGCCGTTTTACCAGCCACAAAGACAAAAGGCAGTCAAACCGTTCATTCTGACTAACGCATGAGCAGCAGCGGGCCTGCCAAGAGGAATCACCCCGAGTTTTGCCTTTTGCTGAGCTGCTTATCATTGCAAGCTGCCCTGTTTGGCAGGGCAGAGTGGGCCATTGGCTGAGCATATGGAGACGTAAAGCCTGCGTATCTGTATCACCATCTGGGTAAACAGAAACTACGTAGGTGTATCACCATCTGCTGTCTGATAGCATCTACACAGGCATTTACATGGGTCTTTTTGCAGCTCTGCCTCCAATAGTGGCTGATTATCACTATCGAAAAAAAAAGAAAAGTAAATCAAATGGTCTCTTTTTGGAAGGTGGGATCCTCTAAATAAACCAAGATAATAATTGTCTTTTTATTTGGGTTGCATATATATTGATTATCTATAATAGTGCTCATGCTTGTTGCATTATTGATGACGTCTGAAGATCTAATGCTTCAGATTACAAATGATTTGGTTTGTTGAGTTAGTCTAAGTAAAGAAATGCATTTCACTGCGTTTATTTTATATGGAGAGAAGATTTGTTTTTAACAACTACAGCTATTGTTTTACATACTAACAAGCAATGTTTAAATTCAAATGATAATTTGAATTATTTTAGGCCAAAACATGATAGGTTTAGTGTTTAATAAACACAACATGATTGTTACTTGATACAAACCAGTTTCTCAAAGAAGCCATGGAGCCTCAAACAAACCTAATCAGGAAGATTGATCCATACTATTAAATCCACAGTTTCATGAACGGTTATGTTCTCTATGGTGCGCAACTGCAACACTAAATAATCACTCAATGGGCCTCATGCAAGAACTGTTCGTACGCACAGATTTGTTCTTAA